AGGCTGGCTATTGAAAGAAAACCTCTCTTTTGTTTTCCAAAAGGTGAGCTACAGCTCAAGTTTGTGGTTTCTCCCTTGCCCACAGACCCTGGAGTGTTTTCTGAGGGCACTCCCTGTTTACTCTCATCACCACATTCACGAGCATGCACAGGGAGCTTGCTGCAGAGTTGAGGGCAGGTGGGGGTTTAGCACTATGGGTGTTGGAGGTGCCGATAGGCCAATAGGCCAGGTGTGGAGTTCTTCAAATGAGGTTCTTCCAGCAGTTCATGGACAAGCTTCCCTACTGAGTCCTGAAGGCCATCAGCAGAAACCACATTGTTTAATGCTCTTTAATATTATCTGCCTATTCCTGATCTCGTCCTTTTCCCCAGTCACAGAGGTCCCACCTCAACACTTTGGGTGCTGCAGGAGAAAAACTGGCTTCTCGGCAGTATTACGCACAGCTGGGGTAACTAGGAAATCCCTCACAGCTCTCCCTCCCCACCCCCGATCCTGGGGAGAGGTTGCCACCAGCTAGTGCAGCCCTGCACTGTGTTGCCTTGGGGTGGGGGGGCAGCACTGGCCAGATTCCTTTTACCGTCTCCAGTGCATCGAAACTCATTGTTTTGCTCCAGTGGAGTACTGGAATCTCTCCTCGGGAAAGCTGGACCTCCACAAAGCCCTCCCATTGTGGGTGTCATCACTCTCCTGGATTTCCCAACCACAGCTGAGAGGGGCTGCAGCTGGTTCTGCAGCCCTATAGTACAGTCTGTCTCCTTGTTACCTAATACCCATGTGGACAAATTCCTACCAGGTTCCTTGGCATATGGTGCTGGATCCCACAATGCCCACAGAGATACTTTTGTTCATGGATGGATGCTAAATTTAGTTGTTAAAAAGGTGGACAAAAAGGAGGGATGTCTCATGCTGCCATAATGCTGACATCATTCCTCAATAATTATGAAGTATTAAATGCCTACTATATACCACAAACAATATTTGGCACTTGAAATATGTTATCAGTAGTCCTCACAACAACTCTGAAAAGTAGATTGTTATCCTAGTTTCCCTGACATGGAAATTGAGGGTCAATCACAGAAGTTAATTGACTTGCTCAAATCCACATGGCTGCGAAGTGGCAGAGTGCAGATGTTGGCCCTAAAGAAGCCTAAAGAAGGTTTATATAATTTCAAACGTTTGCCCTTTCTACTAAATAATACTGCCTCGTATAAGAGAGGTAAGCAGGGCTTCAAAGACTATGATATGAATGATACCCTCAGGGGGCTGGGTGGTATGGCCCTAGAAATGAGGACTTTCAACCAGTAATTACACAAATTAAATGAGGGATTCAGAAAAGATTAGAAATCTGGATGGCTGTGGAATTGGAAGCACGAAGAATGTGCTGAGTAAAGATTGCACATGGAAGTAGCCACCTGCGATATTTTAGGTAGGTGAACACACTGATATTACAGTATATATTGCTTTTAAATCCTGTGATAATAAGGTGGCCAAACATCATAATACTCCCGGATTCTAAAGTAGAACAAGCCAAATCGAAAGCAGGTCCAGCAATGCTTTTAAACTTCCTAGCACTGCTGGTAATTACCCAAAGAATACAAAAACACTCATTTGAAGGGATACATGCACTGCCATATTTATTGCAGCATTATCAACAGCCAAATTATGAAAAGAGCCCAAATGTCCATTGACTGATGAATGGATAAATAAGATGAGATATATAAATACAATGGAATATTACTCAGCCATAAAAAAGAATAAAATCTTGCCATTTGCAACGACATGGATGGAGCTAGAGAGAATTTTGCTAAGCGAAATAAATCAGTCAGAGAAAGACCAATACCATATGATTTCACTCATGTGCAATTGAAGAAATAAACAATCATGGGGGAAGAAAGGAGAGAGGAAAACCAAGAAACTCTTAAGTATAGAGAACAAATTGATGGTCACCGGAGGGGAGGTGGGTGGGGGGATGGATGAAATAGGTGATGAGGATGAAGGAGGGCACTTGTGATGAGCACTGGATGATGTATGAAAGTGTTGAATCAATAAATTTTATACCTGAAACTAAAAAACAAACAAACAATAACTTCCTAGCACTGCTATGTATAGAATTTGGTATTTTATACTACAACTTCTTCTTCTGTGTTATATATTTATCATATTTAGAATTTGATTCTTCAATTCTGTGCTTATCTGGGATACATTTATAGAACAAATTGGGATAAGTTTCTAAATTTCAGTGTTTCGTTCTACAATATAAAGTCTTTATGATGTTTTCTGGATCTGAGTCATTATGGCTGGGTCTCATTTGTACATTATCTTACAGATGAAAAGGTTAAACTGAATACGCTAATGAAAAATGTAGAGCCATTCAGAGGTGAGTGAAAGCTTATAGGAAAAAGTCATTATAAATAGCAATATTCTGATGCTTTTTTGTTATACTTTTAAACACTTTATTCCTATAATACTTACATTATTATTATTCTTGGTATATTAATGGTGTCTTTTATACAATGATCCAGATTGGTTTTGGGCTGTATGCTTTTTGAGCAAAACTACTGAATTTTTATGTCTTAGTAAAATATCCTGTATTCTCTGGAATTTTTTTCAGTAATGCATATCACTTTCCATTGTTTGAACAGCCAAAATATCTATGTTACCACAATAATTGGCATGATAAAACATTGGTATAAATCTTTTTTCTGAATAACTCATCACATAGGCAAAAAGTAATATAGATGCCATCTTTTAGAATTATTTATATAGTCATTTATATAAGTGGTTCTGGTCTCTTATACAGCTCCCATTTCAAAGTGTTGATTTATCCCACTTTTATTAGAGCATTCAAAAAGTATTTTTTTCCTCTCTAGAATCTCAGCACTTTTATCAACCCTGGTCTCAATTCTGCAATTAAAACTAGATGAAATTCATAATTTAGAATCATTCATAACTCTTAAGTTTTTCATCAGTCATAATTTCTATCTTTTCAAAGGAATCAAGATTCATTTTGATGAAGTAGGTGATGTTTTGAAAAACATAGGGATAGAACTCACACCTAAGGAACTCTGGAAGCTGCTAAAAACTCTGCCAATTACTTGTGAGCATTTCTAATACTGCTGTGGCCTTTAGGAGAATGTAGTTTGAGTGTAATATATTGTTGGGGCAGGTGGGGAAACATTAAACATTAAGTATATATTTATAGTCAATATATTTATTGAGCTCTTCTTAGGTTATGAGATTAAAGGCAAAAATTCTTGCCCTCATGGAGGCTATTATAGGGGATGGAGCTAACTCTATTAGGATTTAGCTTGAGAACTTCATAAAGAAATTAAGATTTTTAAATTGATCAATTTTAGTTTAAGATATTGACTTTGAAATGTCTGACAGTCCTAACGCATAGAGAGAAAGAAGTAGGGGAGAAAGAGGAAGTCATGTAAAAAGTGTCAAATCAAAAAGATGTTTCAGAACAGTAAAATAGATAAATATAAAACCTTACTCTCTTCCTTCCCTTTATTCTTAAAACCAAGGAAGAGAAGGATGTGTAGATAAGAAATTAGAGAAATTTGTAAGACCAATCATGTGACATTATTTTCTTTATGAAATAGTCTGGGAGCATCTGGGTGGTTCAGTTGGTTAAGTGTCTGACTTGGTTTCAGCCAGGGTCATGATCTTGGGGTCCTGGCATAGAGCCCAGTGTGGGACTCCGTGCTCAGAGGGGAGTCCGCTTCCTCCCCCCTCTGCCCCTACCCCCACTCATGCACTCTCTCTCTTTCTAAAATAAATAAATAAATCTTAAAAAAAAAAAAAGAAATAGTCTGTACTCTTGTTATGAATTTCTGTGTCGCTTTCTCCATGACATCAATTATGACTTCTCTTATAGCTGATGGAAAGGTGTATTGCAGTCGGTTGCTAGATGGTTTAAAGACTTTCCAAGGTGAGTGATAAGCATAGTAAGAAGCCAAGTAAAAATGAGATCTTTAAGTTTTGTGTTTCCTTTAGGGAAATCCCTTTTTTTTTTTTTACATTTATTTTTTTAATTTAATTTAATTTTATTATGTGATGTTGTTAGTCACCATACAATACATCTTCAGTTTTTGATGTAGGAAGTCCCTTTAATTGCTTAATGATAACAGTAGCTAATTTCTCTTGATTATAATGCCAGGCACTGTTCTCAATACATCTAGCAACCCATTTTAATTATCACAAAAGTCCTAAGGGGTACCTACTTACATTAGCACTACTTTACAGATGGGAGATACTGACCCACTTGCCTAATAAGGTCACACAGTTTGAACACTGGAAGAGGATTTGAACCTGTATTCCTTTTTTTTTTTTTTTTAAGATTTTATTTATTTATTTGACAGAGAAAGACACAGCGAGAGAGGGAACACAAGTAGGGGGAGTGGGAGAGGGAGAAGCAGACTCCCCGCCGAGCAGGGAGCCCGATGCGGGACTCGATCCAGGGACTCCAGGATCATGACCTGAGCCGAAGGCAGTCGCTTAACCAACTGAGCCACCCAGGCGCCCTGAACCCGTATTCCTAACCACTCTGTTATATTTAACAGTTAGGTTATTAACCTTTTTCATCCCCCTTTATGACTTACAACTCAAGTTCAATAACCAGTAAATTTGTAGAAGTAATTTACAGTTATAATGGCAGATTTCAAACTCAGAAGCCAGAATTATGGCTGTTATTTCTGACATATTCCTCCATTATGAATAATAAGTGAAGAACGAGTAATTGGCCTCACTTATTTTCTTTGCTTTAGATGTCTATAACAAATTTTAACGGAGTGTCTTATAACATATGTAAGGGACATGTTCTTTTCTTCACGTTCCCCAGCCCTGCCCCCTGCCACCTTAGTTTTGTGTTTTCCTTGAACATTTGCATTGCAACTTTGCTTTTCTCCCTCCCATTAGGGTTTGGTGCACAGACTTAACTAGAATTCTTTTAATTTTAGGCATAATTCCACATTTTTATTTCCTCTTTCTTTCTTAAGGTGGGAAAATTTTAGAGAATAAAATAGAAACCATTCTGGAAAACTTGAACTATGACCTAGAAAAGAAAGAAATCCAAGATCTACGCAATCATCTGAAAAGGGACAGTGAGTGTTTCATTTACCACTTACACTTCCTGTCAGAAAAATCTTTGAAATCTTCTCATGAAATCTGAGTACTCTTATTCAGTTTCACTTAGAAAGTTAGAAGTACTTACAGAGTTTTAATCCTCGAGGATGAGAAATATGACTTCTGGTTATCATTCCCAATATTGTCAGAGGACCAATAGGGCACTGGTAGATTTAAATTTAGCTAGGAAAAACAAAATAGCACTTCAGAGGAAAACAACAGGATTTATTGAAATAGATATCAGAAAAGGTCAGAAATGGACAAAACCAAATGAGGGGGTAGCAAAAGTTTAGAATTGTTTGGTATGTAATGTATAACTAGAAGCGATCATATTTCTCATTTAACAAATATGAATGTCATGTTGGGTTGAAATAGAGGCTCACCGATATCTCACTTCAGACCAATAATATGGCACCAAAGAGGGGAGTTAAGTGAAAAGGATCAAATGGAAAAGAATTAAAAAATTAAAGATCTAATTTAGTGTTTGTTAAAACACCCTCTTTAGAATTCTATAATGTGGTTGGATATAAAAGAAAATGTTTAAATCAACAAATTTCCTCTATGTAAGGAATGACAACTTAGAAAATCTCATGGAAAAAAAGAGATCCTATTCCCAATAGCAATACATATTTTGTTTACATATGATTTATGGCTTGTATTTCAGATAATGGAAAGATTTCGCTGAGCTCCTTTATGGGTACAGCAAATTTATTTTCTGGTGAGTGAGAAGTAATGATGAAAAGATATAAAATCAAGATCCTTTGTTGTATGTACATACCATATTTTAATTATATATCCCAGTATTCTAAAATTGTACACAAGCCTTGTTTTACCAATATGCTGATGACATATTTGTTTTTAAGAATATAGATGGACTTTTTATTACCTGTGGTTTTAGAAGTATCATTTTTTTAAGAAGTGTATTTTATTATAGGCTGGTTGGCTTGTCTCTATATTTTTTAGAGCATTAAAAAAAGCATTCTTTTGACAAGGCTTAAGGGAAACATGTTATCTTTTGACCTCCTCTTGTGATGCAGTTAGATAGGCCTCATTGTGTCCTTGGTCTTCTGCAGTTACATTTCTAGCAAGTTGGATACTGCTGTTTTATTACAATTATCTTAAAATAGGATTGTTATATATGAAAATTCACATATCATATTTCCCATCTTTCTAAAGGTGGTAAAATTAATGCCAGTGACACACAACTTTATCTGGAAAATGTAGGAATTGAATTAACAAGGAAAGAAAGCCTGGATCTGCTGAACATATTGCCATTGGATGGTAAGCATTTCAGGCATTGCAGTGGATTTCAGAGAATATTGAGTTATTGTATAAAATTCTAGAAGTATAACTCTTTAAAGTGCTGTCAAAAATTTTAAAGGGAATGACATCAGCAACATGGCATGTAAGTTGTTCCTTTTTTAATCAATGAATTGGACACCCACACACAAACAGGAGTGCCTGAATGAGTGTTTTGGGAACTAGCACCTTACTCCAAGGGACCCGGGAGGAGTCTCCCTCACAAGTGCCACTGGTAAAAGACAGGCAACCTCCATACAGGGCTGCAGAACCAATACAGTCAGCAAAATCGCCTACACCTCTCTCGCTGCTGTCAGGAAAAGATCGGGTGAGTGCTGACCCAGGCATGAGAATTTGCAGAAGTCCAGCCTTCCTGGAGGGAGACTCCAGCCCACCATCAGAGAAAAAAGAAAGAAAGAAAAATAGGAGTTTGGCCACAGTGGAGGCAGTAAGAAACTTTCCCGGCACCACTCTTCCCCAAGGGAGGGATGCATAGACCACAGTGACCTCTCCCACAGGGGAAAGGAAAGCAGTGAGTAGGTGCTTGGCCTACCCCAGCAGAGCAGGACCAGCTGGAAAAACCCATTTCTCTCCACCAGCACCCAGAGCACTAAGGTGGGAGCTCTCTGACAGGGAAAGAGGCAGAGATGAATTTCAATTGGCATTAAAGAGATTGCGCTCAGCAGGAAGCCAACCCATGAGCCTCTGGGAGTACCATACCTTGGGATCTCCCTGTACTTGTCAGGCATCCCCAACGTTCAGATGCTAAACCCACACCTCCCCCTACTCTGCTGCTAGCTCCTTGTGCAAGGGTCACAAGTGCATCCTCTAGAGTGAGCTACAGTTAGCATGCTTACAAAACAAGCTACCCAGAGTCTGGAGGGGGAAAACCATAAACTTAAGCTATAGCGCCACCTAGTGGAAAACAAAAGTTTTCAGTAGCCAACCTGGTGAATTCTAAGAACCAGAAAAAAATATAAAAGCTTGAAATTTTGCCACAAAGGCATTGTGACAAGTGTAAGGTAACATCTCCTTGTGGTTCTGATTTGCATTTCCCTGAGATATCACCTTACACCTGTCACAGTGGCTAGACTCAAAAAGACAAGAAATAACAAGTGTTGATTGACAAGGATGTGGAGAAAAAAGAACCCTTGTGCGCTATTGGGAATGTAAATTGGTGCAGCCATGGTGGAAAACAGTATGGAGGTTTCTCAAAAAATTAAAGGTAGAAATACCATATGATCCAATAATTCCACCACTGGGTATTTACCCAAAGAAACAAAAACATGAATTTAAAAAGATATGTGCACCCTTATGTTTACTGCAGCATTATTTACAATAGTCAAGATATGGAAATAGCCCAAGATGGATAAAGAAGATGTGGTATATATACACAATGGATTATTACTCAGCCATTAAAAAAAAATGAGATCTTTCCATTTGCAACAACATGGATGGACTTAGATGGTATTATGCTAAGTGAAATAAGTCAGGCAGAGAAAGACAAATACCACTTGATTTCACTCATATGTGAATCTAAAAAAAAAAAAAAGATTAAACAAAAAACAGAATCAGACCTATAAATACAGAGAACTAACTGATGGTTGCCAGAAGGGGGAAGGGCAGTAATAGAAGAATGGAGAGATGTTGCTTATGGATACATACTTACTAGTAGATAAATGAGTCCTGGAGATGTGATACACAGTATGGTGATTACAGACAACAAAACCGTATTGTAAACATTAAAGTTGCTAAGTAGCCAGATCTTAATTGTTCCCAACACAAAAATAAATAATAATTATTTGACATGATAGAAGTATTAGCTAATGATACAATGGCAATCATATGACAATATAAATGTATCAAATCAATATACCTTAAACTTCACAATCTTTGTGTCAATCATAACTCAATGTTTAAAAATTAAGAGAAAAATAAATGTAGAAAGAGCCACTTCTGACATAAAATATTCTGTCCTTACCATTTAAATCTTAATTTGAGAATAGTGTTCTCTTTGGGGTATTGCTGTTATAAACATTTTTAAATGTTGGAACCAGCATCTATAATCAGTCTAAAGCCAAAGATAGGAAAAAGGTGATAAAACAGTTGTAGAAGGGGTATTTTAGAAAAGAAGAAAAGAAAAAAATCTGTTTCAGTGTGTTGGAGTTCCACCAATAGTACATCAGATGCCAGAGAATGAATAGTTACCTTGAGAATCTTAGTCATTTCTTTGCTTCCTTTGGATTATAACTAATAATAAGTTATAAAATCTAAAAATAAGTATTACTCTCTCAATTTCCACTTCTTGGTAAACTAAATTGACCCTTACGTTACAGATAATAGAAAGGTGTATAAGAATAGATTGATGGATGGAGTGAAGACATACAGAGGTGAGTGAGCAGCATGCTGGGGAAGAGAAAACATCTTCAAGCTTTTGCATTTACTTTTCTAAAATCTCTCTTATTTCTCAGTGATTAGATTGCTAATTATGTTACTCTTTTTTTTAATGAGCTGACATACTTAATTGTATACAATCACATTTGGGAAAATTGCCTATATGCTGTTTTGTCATTGTTGCAAATTTGAAGTCTTACTTAATAGTAAGAAATTTATGTATTGGTTGTCTCTTTCCTATAACTCACCTGTCTTGCCTGCTCTTCTCTTTCTTCTGGGTAAACTCACCCTAGAAATTGCTGTAGTAGTATTTTCTGGAAAACTGACAGGGAGAATTTTTCTACTTCTAATCCTTAACTAATTCTTTTGATCATTCCAAGACCTATATGGTGACATTGCTTCTTACTTCCTGTTTGTGTTGGTCAGTTTATATGACCAAACATTTTTTCCCTCTCTGGCACAAATACAAATTTATTTTATTCTTATCTCTTTCTTTCTTAAGGAGGAAAAGTTAATGTCAGTAGACTAGATGATGCTCTTGAAAACATGGGATTCTCACTTGAGGAGGAAGAAATTGAGGAACTGTATACTCACTTGCCAGTTGATGGTGAGCATTTCAAGTACACAGTGCCCTGTAAGGAAATTTTTGTTTTCCTGTGGAAACCTCTCAAACATACCTATTAATTTCATGGAAAAACCAGAAGTTTATAGAGATCCAATCCTAAAGAATGGAGATATATTGTCTCAATATTAATCTTAGAAAAAATATCAGTAATTGCTCATATTGCTGCTTGCAGACTTCCTATGCCAGAGAATACCAAAATGAAATGACAGTCAGTGTTGGGATCAAGTAAACATTAAAAAATAAAACAAAACAAAAAATTACATTTGAGTGGTGGGAGAAAAAATTATATTTTTTGAAGAGTAAGAGAGAAAACCATAAAGGATTTCAGAGGGCAACAAAAAGAAATGGGGGAAGGATGCAGGAAACTGTTAAATGTCATTTGTACTTTTGCAAAATTAATATAATACATATCTAATAATTACACTAAATAAATTCATAGGTATCAAGCTTTAAATTACACAGAAATTACCCACCCCTTCAAGACTATGATCAAATAGGTCTTAGGCAGAGCCCCTGAATCTTAATTTTAAATAAGCAACCCCCACTACAGTTAATTTGTTGAAATAGCTAACCGTGGGGTGCCTGGGTGGCTCAGTCAGTTAAGTGTCTGCCTCAGGCTCAGGTCATGATCCCAGGGTCCTGGGATTGAGCCCTGCACTGGGCTCCCTACTCATGGGAGAGCCCGCTTCTCCCTCTCCCTCTGCCCACCCCAACCCGCTTGTGTGCTCTCTTTCTCTCTCTGTCAAATAAATAAAATCTTTAAAAAAATAGCTAACCTTTATCATACAAAGAAAAATATATATTAGTAAATTTATGTGGATTAGTACTTTTTTAAGATTTTTTTTTTAAGATTGATATATTTATTTGAGAGAGAGAGAGAGAGAGAGTATGCACGATCGGGGGGAGGGGCAAAGGGAGAGGGAGAGGCAGACTCCCTACTGATCAGGGAGCCCCACAAGGGGTTCAATCCCAGGACCCTGAGATCATGACCTGAGCTGAAGGCAGACATTCAACCAACTGAGCTAACCAGGCGCCCCTGAATCTTTTTTTAAGTTTTATTTATTTAAGTAATCTCTACACCCAACATGGGGGCTCAAACTCACAACCCCGAGGTCAAGAATCACATGCTCTTCCGACTGAACCAGCCAGGTGCCCCATAGACTTGAATCATAAGGTAACTATTTTTCCTTTAAATACTCAAAGATTTTATTTATTTGAGAGAGAGCAGATGAGCAAGAGAGAGAGAGAGAGCATGAGAGCAGGGGAGAAGGGTAGACAGAGATGGAGAAGCAGACTCCCCGCTGAGCAGGAAACCTGATGTGGGACTCGATCCCAGGACCCTGAGATCATGACCTGAGCTGAAGGCAGACACTTAACTGATGGAGCCACCCAGGCACCCCATGGGATTAGTACTTTTTGGCATGATTTTTAGCAACAGCATCTGATCAGAGCACTCTATATAACTCTTAGTATCTTAAGCATCTTAACATCTTTAGCATCTTGAAATGATTCTATAGACTGATTAATAGTTTGATAAGCATCCTAAAAGTATTGGTTTACCTAAGCTTATCTAATATGATCTGATGATGCTTGAAATCAAGACTTTCTGCTTGTCAAAAAAGTGGTCTCCTATTTATTTTCAAATTCTAACCCTTTTTTCATAACTCTGTCTGTAACACATGAGTCAAGCAAGACTATATAAAACTCCTGTTGGAATTAGAATATGGCCCCACCCTAAATTATCTAGAGGGCAATCTAGCTGAATGTCTCAAAATAAATATTATTGCCTCTGCTCAGTAAAGGTACCAAGAACTGAGTTTTAAAAATATAACCAAAGAAACCAAAGAGATCCAAGGAAGAGAGAGAGATAGTAAAAGCACTTTAAATAAATTTTTGTTTTAATGCAATGCTCTATTGTTTGGCCTGAAATTATTCATAACCCAGTGGTTGCTTTGACATTAGTAATTGCTGCCACAGAAGCAGAGACTTCATGTTGTTTGCTTTGTATTGCCAGCACTGAAAATAGGGCCTGGCATATATGTAGGCATCCAGCAAATATGTGACAAGTTAAAAAATGAAAAAATCAGCCTACATCTAGTTGTTGACTGAGCTCCTCCATTTTGGAATACTGACAAGTCTTGGCACACCCTCAACTACTGGGAGCCACTGAAAACAAAGAAGGCAGCTTAGCTAATCAAAAAGGTTTAAGACAACCAGGAGCTCAGGCTAAGCTGAACAGTAAGGTTTATCTCCTACATGAGACCAGTCTAGCGAGACATTGATTGGTGAATGGATAAAGAAGATATATATATATATATATATATATACACACACACACACACATACACATATGTATATACACACATACACACACACACACACATATATATATAATATATATGGAGCTAGAGATTATTATGCTAAGTGAAATAATTCAGAGAAAACAAATAGCACATGATTTCACTCATATATGGAATTTAAGAAACATAACAAACAGTAAAGGGAAAAAAATAAGGGAGAGATAGAGAAAAAAATTAAGAAACAGACTCTTATTATAGAGAACAAACTGATGGTCACCAGAGGAGAGGGGAGTGAGGGGACGGGTCAAATAGGTGATGGGGATGAAGGAGGGCACTTGTGATGAGCACAGGGTGATGTATGGAAGTATTGAATCACTATATTGTACATCTGAAACTAATATAACACTGTATGTTAACTATTTGGAATTCAAATAAAAACTTAAAATAAAAAAGCTTTTTTAAGAATAAAAGAGGTAGCTCTTTCGTGTAAGATACAGAAACCAGTAAAGAGAGTCAAGGAAAATGAAGAAGCAAAGGAATATGTTCAAAACAAAAGGACAAGAATAAATTCCAGAAACAGACCTTAATGAAGTGGAGATAAGTGATTTACCTGATAAAGAGTTCAAAATAATGATCATAAAAATGATGTTCACTGAGGTCAAGAGAACAATGCATGAACAAAGTGAGAATTTCAACAGATAGAAAACATAAGAAAGTACCAAACAGAAATCCCAGAGCTGAAGAATAAAATAACTGAACTAAAAAATTCAGTAGAGGGGTTCAACAGCAGACTAGATCAGTGGAAGAAAGAATTAGCAAACTCAAATACAGGCAGTGGACAGTTAAGCGTCTGCCTTCGGCTCAGGTCATGATCCCAAGGTCCTGGGATTGAGCCCCAAATCAGGCTCCCTGCTCCACGGGAAGCCTGCTTCTCCCTCTACCAGTCCCCCGCTTGTGTTCCCTCTCTCACTATATCTCTGTCAAATAAATAAATAAAATCTTAAAAAAAAAAAAAAGAAGTGTTGAACTTCTTCAAATTTGAACAAAAGGATGCTAATTAGTAACAGGAAAACATATGAAAATATAAATTCCACTACTAAAGGTAAATATACAGTTAATTTCAGAATATTCTAATGTAATAGTAGGGGATAAATCACTAATCTAGTATGAATATTAAAAGACAAAGATATTAAAAATAACTATAACTACATTAATTTGTTAGTGGATACACAGGTAAAAGATGTTAAGTTGTGAGAACAAAAACCTTATAAAATGGGGAGAGAGTAAAAATGTATACCTTTGGTATGCATTAAGTTCTTATAAGCTTAAAGTAGGCTGTTATAAATATGTTTTACATAAACCTCATAGTGACCACAAAGCAAAAACCTATAGTGGATACACAAAATATAAAGAGAATGGAATCTAAGCATACCACTAAGAAAATAATCAAATTACAAAGGAAGAGACTAAGAGAAGAAAGAATCAAAGAAATTATGAAACAGCCAGAAAACGATTATGAACAAAATGGCAGTAGGACACAAACTCTCAGCTATAAGATAAGTAAGGTCAGAGGACCTAATGCAAAGCACGGTTGATAACACTATATTATATAATTGAAATTTGCTAAGAGAGTAGAAAATTTAAATGTTCTCACACACACAAAAAGATAAATATGTGAGATGATAGATGTGTTAGTTAACTAAATGGGGGGATTCCTTTCAGGTATACGTATATCAAATCATCATGATGTACACTTTAACTATATTACAATTTTATTGGCTAATTATACCTCAATAAAGCTGGTATTTTTTTCATTTTATTTTTATTTATTTTTATTTTTATTTTTTGTTATTATGGTAACCACCATACATCACATCATTAGTTTTTTATGTAGTGTTCCATGATTCATTGTTTGCGTATAACACCCAGTGCTCCATGCAGAATGTGCCCTCTTTCATACCCATCACCAGGCTAACCCATCCCCCCACCGCCGTCCCCTCTAGAACCCTCAGTTTGTTTCTCAGAGTCCATAGTCTCTCATGGTTCGTCTCCCCCTCCGATTTACCCCCCTTCATCCTTCCTCCCCTTCCCCCTTCCCATCTTTCCCCCCTTCATCCTTCCCCTCCCTCATCCTTCCCCTTCTTGCCATTTGCAACAACGTGGATGGAACTGGAGGGTATTATGCTGAGCAAAATAAGTCAATCAGAGAAAGACATGTATCATATGACCTCACTGGTATGAGGAATTCTTAATCTCAGGAAACAAACTGAGGGTTGCTGGAGTGGTGGGGGGTGGGAGGGATGGGGTAGCTGGGTGATAGACATTGGGGAGGGTATGTGCTATGGTGAGAGCTGTGAATTGTGTAAGACTGTTGAATCACAGACCTGTACCTCTGGAACAAATAATACATTATCTGTTAAAAAAAAAGAAGAAGAAGATAATAAAGCTGATATTTAAAAAACAAAAAAAAGAAAATAAATTATCTTCTTCCATTCTGATGAATGAGGAACACAAAAAGAAAAAGTTGAATGAATAGAGTAGGTGTATCTACCATACTTAGATTTTTTTTCAACCTTGTGCTTATATAGTGTGAAAATAAAATATCTAATTGGGGGGGGAACTTTGGGCAACTGGTAAATTCTTATACTTTACTCCACAGTTTAAGAATTTTATGTAATGGGGACCTGTATTAGTCCATTCAGGCTACCATAACAAAATACTGTAGTCTGTGACTTACACAACAGAAATTTATTTTCTCACAGTTCTGGATACAGGGAAATCCAAGATCAAGGTACCAGCTGATTCAGTTTCTGATGGGGATTCTCTTCCATGCTTGCAGAGCCTGTCTTCTCACTGTGTCTTCACACAGCAGGGAATAGAAAAGATGGAGAGAGACAGGGAGAGACACAGGGGGAGATACAGAGAGACAGAGAGAGAAAGGCTATCTTCCTTTTCTTTTAAGGTCACAGTCCTATCAGATTAGGGTTTCACCCTTATGACCTCACAACCTTAATTACCTCCTAAAGACCTTATCCCCAAATAGTCATATCAGAGGTTAGGGCTGGGGCACCTGGGTGGCTCAGATGGTTGGGCTTCTGCCGTCAGCTCAGGTCATGATCTCCAGGTCCTGGGATCGAGCCCCACATCAGGCTCCTGGCTGGCTCCTGCTTCTCCCTCTGCCTCTCCCCCTCCTTGTGTGCTCTTTCTGTCTCTCTCTCAAATGAATAAATAAAATCTTAAAAAAAAAAAAAAGAGGTTAGGGCTTCAAAATATGAATTTGAGGGGACACAATTCAGTCCCTAGCAGGACTATATCTAAATTTTGTCTTGCCTTGTAGAGGAGAGAAGAGTTAAACTGGATAAACTTCTGGATGAAGTGCATGAACTTCTAGGTGAGTGAGAAGAAATTATGATAAGGCATAATAAAAATAATCTCTTAATATTTAACAAAAGAAGTTATTTTTAAAGTATTTTCTGTTATCTATTCATGATATATTAATTCTGTCATTATATCTCTTTTAACTGGTAATGTATATATAACTAAAGAAACAACCTTATAAATTAAGTGTTAGTCAATATTCTATTCAGTTGTTACCTACGTCTTATTCAAAAGGCCACAGTGTAATGCATAAATAACAACGCCTATGTTCTTTGGAGTTTTTCAGTAATATAATTTTATTTTCTACTGTTCAAATAGCAAAATGCTAAGGCAAATTACACATACAGGTAATATGACCATGTGAACAAACTCATAATTTAGGCAAAAATAAAACAATAGAGCAAATATTACATGCTGGCAGAATTATTTACACCAGTTAATTTAGTGGGCTGTTAAAAAACCGAACTTACTGCATCCTGTACCTTCTTCCCAACATTGATGAACCCCCTTTTACCAAAAAGAAGTTCTATTTCTGAATCTCCTTTCTAATTTTCTATAATTAGACAATACTTAATGTTTCCATTGCTTTTTATCCTATATTTGAGAATGATGCTACACAAAAATAGTTGATACGATGATGATGATGATGATTTAAAGTTTGAAATCTGACCTTTTACCATTATTTTCTTTTTTAAGGAGAAGAAGTTACCTCTGAAGACCTGGAAAATACTCTGAAAAACATAGGGTTAAGACTCAAACTGAAGGAGAACACTGTGTTGATGAAAAGTTTGCCACTTGATGGTGAGTGTTTAATTTGCCAGTGAGGTATTCATCCACCCAGTAAAAGTTAATTGGTTGCCATCATACTAGACATAATACTAGGCTCTGAGTTACAAAGATGAATGAGACGAAGTCCAGGTCCTAAAAGCACTCAGTGTAGAGATGGACAGCACATACAAAACAAAAACAAATGCTATGCACTATGTATGTGCTGTAATATTAATGAATATCTATACTGCTATGAAAGTACAAAGGAGATATTGACCAACTATACCTGGATTCTCTAAGGCTTCACAGAGTTGTTATTACTTCAAACAGGCCTGGAAAGTTTGATGGTAGGAGGTGCGAAGAACTAAAAATAAAAGCACTGAAAAAGGCAAAGAGACATACCTGATCATGGCAAGTTTGGGGAACCATGTATAATTTCATGTTGATCTAATACAGATTACACATTTACATTATGTGGAGAAATACTTTATTAACTTGACTCAATCTGATCAATAATTCAGATATAATCTGTCTGTGAAATAGGATAATAACAATGCCTATCTATGATGATGATGAGGATAAACAAAATGAAGGCTATGGAAATATGAGAAATTTTTTAAATATTTAAAATATAAAATAAAGATATTAGTTATTAGATTTTCTATTTCAAAAATCCAGTAATGTTTATTAAATAATTTCTATATTTAAGTCATTTTTCTAGCTTCAGGAACTATGAAGATATATGCCAGAATCTTACTGCTCAAAATAAAACAGTCTTTGCACTTAAAAAGTTCATAATCTAGTTGAGTAGATAAGACAGAGATACATATTTTGAGTTTCTGGATAAACACTGTACTTTTTTAATATTTGCATTTATCTTTACCACTTCCTAAAATACTAAAAAGATGTAAAAGAAATTAAAAAGCCATAATCTACAAAGACTAAGAGAAGAGTAGAGAACATTATAGCAGATAAGAGGTGTCAGTTAAATTTCAAAAACCAGAAAGTGGATGAAAGAACATAAATGGTGAAAACTGAGCCTGAAAGGGGAAGCAAACAAGAAGTCCACTTCAAGGGCACTCGGTGGCTGAGTCAGTAGAGCATTTGACTTTTGATCTCGGGTTGTGAGTTTGAACCCCATGTTGGGTGTAGAGATTACTTAAAAATAAAATCTTTAAAAAAAAAGAAGAAGAAGAAGGCAGCCACTTTGTGTCACAAAACTATAAAAGGCTCAGGAAATGGAGGCACCAGTTACCTCCAAAGTCAGGAATGTGAGTACAGTTGAAAGTAGAAGAATTGGTAGAAAGTCTTTATTTTTTTTTAATTTTATTTTATTATGTTATGTCAGTCACCATATAATACATCATTAGTTTTTGACGTAGTGATCCATGATTCATTGTTTTCGTATAACACCCAGTGCTCCATGCAGTACATGCCCTCCTTAATACCCATCACCGGGCTAACCCATCCCCCCACCCCCCTCCCTCTAAAACCCTCAGTTTGTTTCTCAGAGTCCATAACCTCTCATGGTTCATCTCTCCCTCCAATTTCCCCCCCTTCATTTTTCCCTTCCTTCTCCTAATGTCCTCCATGCTATTCCTTATGTTCCACCAATAAGTGAAACCATATGATAATTGACTTTCTCTGCTTGACTTATTTCACTTAGCATAATCTCCTCCAGTCCCATCCATGTTGATGTAAAAGTTGGGTATTCATCCTTTCTGATGGCTGAGTAAGTAGAAAGTCTTTAAAAAGAGCAATGTGATCTACGGAACCCCTTCCTCACTCCACAGCTAAGCAAGTATTTCTTATCAATGCCATATAGAGATTTACTCTCTGGAGAGGTTAAACTAGAAAGATTCTGGGACATCAGACACAGCCAAGGTTGGGAGTGAATTTTCTACTGAAACAGGGAGATTAAGTGAAAGTCAACATAATGCATGGTGAAATCCTCCAAGTCATCTTCTTCCACTGGCCTCTCTAGATGCTGGCAGTGAATTCCAATATCCTTTATTCAGATACTGACATCTCCAGCCTGCAATGAAAAGACATTTGTGCTACTAAAACAAAAACACCTCGCCCTTAAACATAAATAATCAAGAATCATATGACGTATAATAAAAGTCTGTTACATGAAAGACAGAAAAGACAGCAAAGAAGGAACTTGGAGGAAATACAGTAATCCCCCTTTATGCTTGGGGGAAATGTTCCAAAACCCCCAATGGATGCCTGAAACCATGGATAATACCAAACTCTATATGTTTTTCCTTATACATACATACCTATGATAAAGTTTAATGTATAAATTAGGCACAGTAAGAGATTAACAATAATAACTAATAATAAAATAAAACAATTATAATAATATACTATAATAAAAGTTACATGCATGTGACCTCTTTCTCTGTCTCTCTCAGTATCTTATTGTACTTTACTCACCCTTCTTGTGATGATGTGAGATGATAAAATGCCTACATGATGAGATGAAGTGAGATGAATTATGTAGGCATTGTGATGTAGCGTTAGGCTACTATTGACCTTCTGATGATACATCAAAAGGAAGGTCATCAGCTTCCAGAACGCAGTTGACACAGGTAACTGAAACCAGGGAAAGCAAAACTGCAGATAAGCAGGGGATACTGTAGTCAAAGGAAAAAGCAGAAAAATAATTCAAAACAATTTTAACTAATATCTTCAGAAAGATGAGAAAATCCCTAGTTATGAAACAAGAAAAGGGGGCTATGCAACAAGATAAGAGGCATTGTGGAAAAGGAGAACTTAAAAAAAATTTTTTTAAAGCTCTTTGGGAAAAAAGCAGTAGAAATTTAGAAATTCATTGGGTGGAAGGGCTAGAAGATGAATTTGAATATTGGAACAAAAAGACAAAAGAGATGGAAAATAGGAGAAAAAAGATGATAAAATCAATCCTAGAAATCCAACAACTGATAATAGAAAAATTCCCAAAAAGAGAAAACAAAGAAAATAGAGGAAGAAATTGTAAAATAAATCATATTTTAAGAAGTCTCCAAATCTGAAAGAATGTGACTCCAGATTGAAAGGGCTCACCAAGTACTTACCACAAGGAGTAGAAAAAGACTCACACCAGAGTATGTTGTGAAATATCAGAACACCAGAAATAAAGGGATTATAAAAGTTTCCAAAGAGAAAGAAGCAGGTCACATATAAAGTTTGGGGTATGTGAATGGTACTAGACTTCACAACTCCTGAAGATGAAAGACAATTGTATAATACCTTCAAAATTATTAGAAAATTTTTCCAACCTGGAATTCTATATCCCACTAATACATCAATCAAGTGTGACAATAAAATTCATATTTCAAAATAAGACATTTTCTGAGAAAAGGTTCAGAAAAAAATTTTATATGTAAATATCATTTCTTAAGAAACTACTCTGGGGGGAGAGATGTCACCAAGATGGCAGAGTAGGAGACCCTAGCCTCCTTCCCCCAACAAAGATCAACAGTTAGACAGTTATCCACAGGGGAGCCTGGGTGGCTCAGTCCATTAAGCGTCTACCTTCAGCTCAGGTCATGATCCCAGAGTCCTGGGATCGAGCCCCACATCGGTCTCCCCACTCATCGGAAAGTCTGCTTCCTCTCCCTCTGCCCCTGTCTCTGCTCTGCTCTCTCTCTCACATGAATAAATAAAATATTTTTTAAAAAATGAAAATAGCTCTGGGAGAGCTCAGGAATCCACTTTTAATTAAAAACCTTAAGTAAAAAAATAAAAAAATAAATGTAGGGGAGAGAGGTGATTAAAACACTATGTGCTAATTAAAAAAAAAAAAAACCTTAAGCAACACAGTGGAGCAAAAAAACAAACAAACAAAAACACCCTGAGAATAACCACAAAAAAAGGGTAAAAAGAACAGTTTTGTTTTACCTACATCATCCCATACCCTTACACCAGCACTTCTCACTGCCAAGAGGGAACTCCCCAGCCCAAAAAAGTTCCCCTCACAAGAAAAGGAGAGTGAGCTGCATGACCAGCTTCCCCAACCTTTTGGAGCCCTACACAAAGGACCTGCTTAGGTTTCACTTCACCCAGTGACCAACAAAAGTGAGACATCTAGAGATGACTAAGAACAAGGAAAAAGGGAAGGGGATACCAGTATCAGCCACATAGTGAGAGCAACCATAGTTCCCAGTGGCCTCATCTGCAAATGACCCCATCTGCAAATGACGTCCACAGTTTTTGCTGCTGAGAACCTCAACAGCCCTTGCAAACACTAAAAATACCCCCCAGTTTTCGGGCGCCTGGGTGGCTCAGTCGGTTAAGCAACTGCCTTCGGCTCAGGTCATGATCCTGGAGTCCCAGGATCGAGTCCCGCATCAGGCTCCCTGCTCGGCGGGGGGTCTGCTTCTCCCTCTGACCCGCTTCCCTCTCGTGCTGTCTCTCATTCTCTCTCTCAAATAAATAAATAAAATCTTTAAAAAAAATAAAAATAAAAATAAAAAAATAAAAATAAAAAAAAATAAAAATACCCCCCAGTTTTCATCACTGAGGACCTCATTACAGACCCCAACAGACTGCTCCACAGAGGATCCCAACAGCTTTTACTGCTGAAGAAACCAACTGTCAAAACAGCCGCTGCAGACGTCCTACAGATTTTGCCACTGAAGTTTTCACTCCACAGGTTTTTGTGTTCACAGAAGCCAGCCACCCTGGTCACTAGGAGTGTCTCTGCAGCCAGCCCCTGCTGTTATAGATGCACTTGCTGCCAGCCCCCACAGCTGAGCATGTGCAAACCAGTGGCTCCAGCCACCACTACCACCTTGCCTGTTCCCTAACCACTGGACCTTTGGGTGCTGCCAAGGACCCCAGAAGCCCTTGAAGCCACTGTGGATCTCTCACAGCTCTCACCAAGGAACGTGCAGTTTTTGATGTCGTGGACCCCAGAAACATGAGCCGACAAGACACCACATACCCCAGACCTGGAGCCACCACACATCCCCACTCTTGACACCACCCACCACTAGACCCAGAGTCACAACTCCAGTGCATCCTTATAGACAAGTGAAGGTCTTTTCTTACCAAAAATAGTCCATAAAGCCTGGAAGAGGAGACTGCTTCTTTACATGCACAGACACACACACAAACCTGCAGGGATCATGAAGAATTAGGGAAACACGACACCACAAAAGGAACACAGTAAACTTCCAGTAACTGACCCCAAAGAAATGGAGATACACAAATTGCCTAACAAAGAATTCAAAATAATTGTTCTAAAGGTTCTCAGATACAAGAGAACTCAGAAAAACAATTTAAATAATGAAAACAATACAAGAACAAAATGAGAAGTTCGACAAAGAGATGGAAAATGTAAAAATGAATTAAACAGAAACTTTGGAGCTGAAAAATACAATTACTGACCTGAAGAATTCAATAAAGAGTTTAAAAACCCAGCTGAACCAAGCAGAAGAAAGAATCAGTGAACCTGAAGAAAGATCATTTGAAATTATCCAATTAGAGGAGCAAAAAGGATGGAGAATGAAAAGGAATAAAGAAAGCCTATGGGACTTATAGGACACCATTAAGAGAAATAATTTACATGTAATTAGAGTACCAGAAGGAGAAAAGAGGCAGAAAGGAACAGAAAGCTTATCTTTTTAACTGGCTAATAACTCCCCAAATCTGGGGAGAGATTTGAACACCCAAGTTCATGAAGCTCATAGTTTTCAATAAAAATTCAACCCAGAGAGACCTTTGCTAAGACATAATATAATAAAGCTATCAAAAATCAAAGATGGAGAGAGAATCTTGAAAGCAATAGGAAAAGAAGCTTGTCACTTACCAAGGAACCTCCATTAGGATATCAGCAAATTTCTGAACAGAGACCTTGCAGGCCAGGAGAGAGTGAGATAATATATTTAAAGTGCTAAAAGAAAAACCTGTCAACCAAAAATACATTAAAGTCCAGCAAAATTGTCCGTCAGCAATGAAGAAGAGATATTTCCAGACAAGAGCTGAGGAAGTTTATTATCACTTGGCATGCCTTACAAGAAATGCCTCAAGGAGTCCTAATGAGTAACATGAAAACATACGAAAGTATACAGCACACTGGTAAAAGTAAGTACATAGAATAGAATCCTCTAATGTGTAACATTGTCGTGTGTTAACCACTTAACTCTAGTATAAAGGTTAAAGGACAAAAGTATTTAAAATAGCTATAGCTACAATACTTCGTTAATGGATACACAATATAAAAAATGCAAATTGTGCCATCAAAAACATAAAATGTGAGGAGGGATTAAACAGGTAGAATTTTTGTATGCAATTGAAGTTAAGCTGTTAGCTGCTTAAAATAGACTTAAAAAGAAGGGAGTCAAACTATATCACTAACAGAAAATCATCAGTTCACAAAGGAAGCCAGCAAGAGAGGAAAAAAGGGACGAAAGAACTACAGAATAGTCACAAACTCATTAGCAAAATGACACTAGGTCCAGTGGCTAGGGAACATTATTTGAGAGAGAGAGTGGGAGCAAGGGGAGGGACAGATGGAGAGGGAGAGAATCTCAAGCAGACTCCCCACTCAGTGGGGAGCCCAACACAGGATTTGATTCCACAACCCTGAGATCATAAACTAAGCGGACATCAAGAGTCAGAGGCTTAACCAACTGAGCTACCCAGGTGCCCCTGTATCATGCTTATTTTAAATTTCTGGCCCTTTTATTCCAATAATTCTTATTCAAAAAGCATACGTTATTCAGTTTATTTGTTTATTATTTGTATTTGAAGTAGTTGTATTCCTCAGGTGACTAGTTACTTTAGTCCTATGAGCCTTTGTTCTCTTGCAGCATCATTACTGTGTTTGGAAATGTGCTTTAGGTAAAGGTGTAAAGTCCGGCTCCACTCCACACCAGCCTGTTGGGCTTAAGAAGAAGGGAGGGGATGAGCCCCAGGGCAGAGAGACCCAAATACTGTTGATCATTTTCCTGATTTGAAACTGTTCCACGCACCACCTCTGGTCAGAGTTTCACCTTTAAACTCAGAGAGAAGTAGGGTTGGAAGAAGGCAACCTATAATATAGATTGTAATCCAACAGCTCTAAAGATTGAGAGATGGAGGATAAAATACCTGAGGCAGGGGCGCCTGGGTGGCTCAGTTGGTTAAGCATCAGCCTTTGGCTCAGGTCATGATCCCAGGGTCCTGGGATCGAGCCCCACGTCGGGCTCCTGGCTCAGCAGAGAGCCTCCTTCTCCCTCTCCCTCTGTCTCCCCCCCCCCCCCCCCCCCCGCTCAGGCTCTCTCTCTCTCTGTATCTCTGTGTCTCAAATGAATAAATCTTTAAAATATATATATATATATATATATATTTCCCCAATTGGTCCTTTCACCGCACTGCTAATAAGCCCTCCACTCTAGGCTGTCAGGACATACACTCACACTGGGACAGCTTTCCATCACCCACTGGTGTCGCTGTGGCTTTTCACTTCATTCCTGGAACCCAGGTTTCTACTCAGACTTCAGTTTCTTCAGGGTTGATTTCTGGGGAAGGAGCCAGGAATTCATGCTAGTGCATCATCTACATAGGAATAGAAATCTATATTTGAATTTTTGTAAAATATGAAGCCTGTGATGGCAACAGATGAGATCCACTAAGGGATTACCTTGTGGAATTTATTTTCACGGGCTTGTCAATGAAAATATCTAAAACAATATCCATTTGATATCATGTGAAAAACATGTAGAAATGTTCAGTACTAATATTCAAAGATGTCCTATTATGGTTGTCAGGCTGTTTAGCTCAAAAATCATCTATCTCTTCACTCATGAGTCCCACTATATCTACAGTTATCCTTGGGAGCATTAATATGTATGATCTTATGCAAAAGAGTAGAAAATGAGAGTTAGATGAAAAGAGAGATAGGAAAAAAGTATGGCAAGACACCATCAATAATTGTTTCAATTGTCAAATAAAAAAGTGAGTAGATTTACTATCTGGAGGGCTTTCTGCCATTGGTTTAACTCTTAAGTTGGGATATAAACAGGAAAAAAAAGGAGTAAAATTTTAAGAATCGTCCTTTCTGAAATTGCTAGGTTTTGAATTATTACAACAGGTCCCCTAACCAATTACTGTATTGTGCCCTATCCTACAGCTGCTGGAAAATTGTATAAGCATAGACTGCTGGATGGCATAAGGTCTCTCAAAGGTAAGTGAGCAATCAGGTAAAACTGAGACTCCTTATGATTTGCATTTACATTTTAAAAGACACATTTATTTTTGGTGATGACAAATTTGTCAACCTAACCTGTTTATTTATCAAGTATTCTTGTCTCATCATGTAATACTTTTAACATAACTACCTTCAAAGGAATTATTTTTGTCTATCATTTCATTTCAAGTTCTATTTTTGGAGTAGAATTATAAAGGCAGTGTCTTACCAGAATTCAGCAGACTTGCTTAATCCTTTCATTTTCTTCTTATAAATGTCTCATGAGAGCTATAGTCAAATCCTCTCAACAAAAATGAGGAGCAGGTTCTGTTCTTCATTCCCATGATAACTCTTTTCATTTACAAAAATTTATTGTTTCTTTGATTGTACTCCCTCTAATTAATGCACAGACGTGCCTAGCATTTTTTACTTTATCATTATCGTTTGCTTTTCTCACTCCCTTCCTTTTTTTCCCTAAGGAGTGGAGCTTAATGTTAATAAGTTAGGACCTTTCATGAAAAATATGGGCTTTAACCTGGAAAAAGAAGAATACCTTGACCTGCTTAGCAACCTGCCTGCTGATGGTAAGCTGCTCCTACAGTGAAACTTTGCCTTCGTATATGAGAATTTCTGTACATATATACATATGTACATATATTTAGAGTGTGCAGAAACATTAAAAAACAGAAAGATAACAGCCCAGTTCTCAAGAACTCATCAATACTTGCAGTGGACTTTATTGAGTGCCTAATATACATAGCTATTAGAAATATAAAAATGAGGATGACAGGTTCTCTGTCCTCTAGGAGTTCACAGTCTGGTAAGGAGGCTTATATGCTGACAGGTCATCATAACATTTTGTGGTTATGCTATAATACTAAAAATGCACTTAGTAAGATCCTAAAGGAGGGAAAAGCTAAGTTGGCCAAGTAGAGAATTGGAGAAAAACTTGTCAGAAGATACAAAGAAATTCTCCAGGAAAAAAAAAAAAAAAAGGCATTCCATGGGGATTAGGGAGTGCACTTGTTGTGATGAGCACTGGCTAATGTATAGAATTGTTGAATCACTATATTGTACACCTGAAACTAATATAACACTGTATGTTAACTATACTGGAATTAAAATAAAAAAAAAAAGCTGGGACAACCCCCAGAAACTCCAGCAGGCTACATATACAGTGCACATGGAGCCTATTCTTGCAAGTGCTTACTTACACCCAGACACCCCAGGATGTATATATTTTTTGTTATCACATTTCCCAGGTATCTTGAAAGTTTACTGGAATGCCACAACAGTGATTTTGGTTGTGGAAGTATCAGCCATCTCCCTAAGTACTACTTTCCAGGTCAATGAGCCAATTGGAAATAGCATTAGAGACCTGTTTCAGACTATCATAAGTCTTCTATGGGACCAATTGAAATACATGAGAATGGATGAGACATTTTCCTGTGAGGCACTAACAATCTATCAGGTTGTTCCTATGAAATTCCCCCATTTAAGAGGAAAATACAAAATAAAGATCTAAAAAATACAGAATTTAAAAAAAATTATTAAAGTTCAATTAAATTGATCAAAGCTTTTTAAATATATAATGAGTGTGGGTAGTAGAAGAACACAGCTAAGTGTCACCTGTCATTCCACTATAGGAATAGGCATTATTAATGCTCTAAGTCAGATTTTCCTGTTGGAGCATTTGCCTTTTTTAAGATGCTCGTCAGCCTCATAATAAATAAAATGGAGTTCTTCCTTATCTGAAAACAGAGAGGGCTACTTTTTAAATATCAGCCCAGCACTCTACTATGTGGAGTTTATCTTAATAGAATAAAAACTGAGGTTAGAAGTGTGAAATTAAGTATCTTTTTTTATAATCAGAGCTTTGTCTTTCCACATTTTCCATTTGATAAGAAAATAGGATAAAATTCTAGAGCAAATCATTAAAATTTGCTGAATTTTGTGTTGTACTTCAGGGTATGACTTTTATGTCTTCTATTTCTATTATTTTTTATGCATAAAATTCTGTCTTCTCTTACAGATGAGGGGAAGATTGAAGTGAATGTGGTAATGGATGAAGGAAATCTTTTTACAGGTGGGTTAGATCTTTATTACCTCATTATTCAACATCTATAAATACCAAGTGTGAATCAACAAAAACCAACCTTCCAGGAGCTTATTTAGCTGGGGCAAGAAAAAACATATAAATACATATAAATAAAAGCAATAAAATGTTATCAGTGCTATGTCAAAAACCTGTACAAAGTAAAGAAGGGGCAGAATGGTCACTTGCACCTGAGGAAGAGAAATTGGGAAATGCTTTAATAGAATGGGCAACACATGAGCTGATCCTTAAACTATAAGTCAGTTTTGCCAGAAAGAGTAGGATGGGCATTCCTGATAGAGAAAAAATAATAAAAGGCACCAAAATGAGAAACTGTATGATGCTTTATGGAACTAGAAAAAATCTGGGGTAGCTAAAGCATAAATGCTGTCAGGAGTTTGGCTAGGAATAAACTTAGAGAGTAAGAAGTGGGATGTGGTAGGCCGAGTAATGGCTCCCAAAGATATCCAGGTCCTAATCCCCAGAACTTGTGAATGTTACCTGATATAGCCAAAGGGATCATGGAGATGTGATTACGGATCCTGAGATGGGGAGGTTCTCCTTGATTATCCAGTTGAGCACTAAATATAATCACTAGTGTCCCCTGAAGAGGGAAGCAAGGTGATAGTTGATGACAGAAAGAGTAGAGGGCAATGTGACAACAGAAGCAAGATGCTACACTGCTGGCTTTGAAGACAGAAGAAGGGGAGTAAGTTAAGGAGTGTAAGTAGCCTCTAGAAATAAAATAGGCAAGGGAACAGATTCCTCCTGAGAGTCTCCTAAAGGAACCAGCCCAGCTAACACCTTGACTTTAGCTCAGTGAAACTAATTTGGGGCTTCTGACCTCCAGAACTATAAGAGAAAAAAATCTGTATTGTTTTACACCACCATGTTTTTGGTAATTTGTTACAGCAATAGGAAACTAATATAAGGGACAAATCACAGAGAGCCCTGAACACCTAGTAAAGTAGTATGAATTTCATCCTGCAGAGAATGGGGAGTCATTCCAGGATTTTAAGCAGGAGTCTGTGTGATTAGCTTTGCAAATTAGAAACCTTGCTCTAGCAGAAGTATAAAGGATGGATGGAGGTATATGTACAAGATAGAGTCAAGGAAACTAGTTAGAGAGCATATTGTAATTGTCCAGGCAAAAGACAATAAAGGGCAGAAGTAAATCATTCTCTGTCAGACTTGAGAGGAAGGGACATATAGAAGAGATGTTACGGATGTAGAATCTGTAGAATTTGGTTACTGATCAGGTATAGAGACAGAGTGAAAGGATGGAATGGAGGATGACACCTCAGTTTCTGAGCTGGGTAGTTGGGTGGGTAACAGTGACATTGACCAAAGTAAGGAAATTCAGTAAAATAAATTTAGAAGTAAAGATATAGTTTCCATTTTGGTCATATTGGGTTTGAGCTTCCTATAAGGCATCTAAGGGAGACTGAACCCTAAGCAGTTAAATAGGTAAGAATCTGAGACCACCTCTCTTTCTGAGACAAGCAGACTTCAAGCCAGGAAGGATACAGATATCGAGAATCTATATACATGTGGGAGTAAAATTAAGAGGATTTTACCTAAAAGCTTCAATTTTCTCTGTATAGTAGGAAACAGAATCATCTATGAAAAGAAAGGGCCCAGTGGTGGGGTAGAGGACTTTAAAGAAAGTGTTTATAATTTGGGATAACTCTGATAGAGAATAGGAACTAGAGTTGATGAGGAATATATGAAAGCCTTGCTGAGAAGTGCCAAGAGTCTAACCACAGTCAGATGTCATAAATAAATAATGGCAATACCTGGGTCGTAGGGTAGTTCTATTTTTAACTTTTTGAGGAATCTCCATACTGTTTTCCAGAGTGGCTGTACCAGCTTGCATTCCCACCAGCAGTGTAAGAGGGTTCCCCTTTCTCCGCATCCTCTCAAGGGGATGGGGTAACTGGGTGATGGGCACTGAGAAGGGGACATGATATAATGAGCACTGGGTGTTTAAACAACTGATGAATCACTGAACTCTACCTCTGAAACCAATAATACACTATATGTTAATTAACTGATTTTAATTTAATTTAATTTAAAAAATAAAAAATAAAAAAATAAGTAATGGCAATTTTCACATGATTGTGATATTCTTCAGTTGCACCAAAATCAAAGATCCTTAAGTCTGATGTGCCAAAAGAATGAAAGCATAAAGACATAGAAAGATGTAGTCAAGAGAGTGGTCAAGTGGTCTAGAGTGGATAAGAAAAGTGAAGTTATGATGGAAATTATGAACTTGGAGAAAAGTGAGAGAGGAGGGAATGAAAGTCTCTGTAGAAATGATAATGGGTGTGGTAGGAATAAGGAAGTAAAAGAAGTGGAAGAATATGAGGTTCTGGCCAAAAATAGTTTTGTTAGAATTTAAGATTTTAGAGGCAAAGCATTTCCAGGTGATGACAAAGTTCAGGATATCCATGATGGTTAACTAGTATAGAATTTAGGAGACAGTCATTGAGGATAATGAGCTCAAGAAATTTGGAGGCCAGGTTGTGGAATGAACTATCCATATAAAGACTGGTATTCCCTATAATGATGCCAGGAATTTGGGTGCAGAGGAAGACTGTGAGTTAATGGGACAAGCTCCTTAAGTGACCAAAAAAATCAGTGACAATAAAAAGAAATCCAAATATCATAATTCTCACAAGAGGAGAGGTTTGAGTATGGCCAAAAAAACAGCAATCAGGATCTAGGAGATTGCACGCCCTAAGGCAAATGGGATATAGAAAAAAGAGCAGTTTTCTCTCAAAGGGAAAAAATAGAAAAGGGAAATATCAGGAACAGGCAAAGTTCAGTTAGGAAAGAAGGTAAGAGTCTGTAAAGAGACTGAAGATATAGAGAAATTCATATTTAATAAAATATGAGTCTGAGAGGGCACTATGGGAAGGTGAAAACAAAGCTAACAATGGAAAGAAAAATCAGAGCGGTAGAACACAGAATACATTAGAGAGGATATAAAATTTTGTGGGCTTACAGTTTGAAGATTGGGAATGATACAGATAGAAGGTGTGGTTAGACTGATAATCTTGAGGCAGAAGGCTCATGTCTGTCAAAACGTGATCAAGGTAGCAGACTAGGAAATTGCTCTGTTGCGTCTGAAAAGTCATTCCCTTGGCTGGTTACCAGGGGTGGGCAGGGGGAGACGGGATATCAGAAGCTCCACTAGTCCAAGGCATCACAGAAGAAGTCTGAAGCAGTTGGGGGAGAACAACCGTTGTGCAGGTTTCCTCCCAGGCACTTGTGCAGAAGACTGGCTAATTCCCCAGATATTATCCTCCCAATGGAAGCACTGCAGTATGGTTCCAGAGGACTAAAAGCAAGAGTTCTCTTTTTTCTGGAATTGGAAATGATTAGGAGGTCCAAACTGCCTACCTAAATAGCATCTTCCCCCCCACACCCCAGCTTTATTGAGATATAATTGATATATAACATTGTGTAAGTTTAAGGTATACAACATGATGGTTTGATATACATATGTATTTCAGAATGTTTACCATAATATGGTTAGTTAATACATTCTTCACCTCACATAATTACCATTTTGTTGTTTTTGTTGCTAAACCGCATCTTTAAGCTAGAGGGAAGAGGCATCGTGAAGGAAAGTTTCACACAGCCATCCCGCAAGCAGATTGGGAAATGGCTACAGGGGGCAAGGATAAGTGGTGATTCCCACCCTTTTAACCAGGAACTAAAACCAAGTCCATTACCAAACAAAACTTGTTAGCTTTGTGTCTTACCCATTTTGGGGATAGTCTGGTGTTCCCTTGTCTGTCTCACTGTAGCACTTTATATTATAGCCCTAAGAATAAAAATATCTGTGTGCTAGTTTTCCTGGGACACTGGAAAGAAGTGAGCTTGGAAGACTGCATCTAATTTCATAGCCACCCTTAGGGAAGCCCAAAAAGTATACTGGATGGTAGTTGCTGCCAAGAAGAGAAGAAACTAAGCCCACCAAATCCCTGAGGCAGGACAGAGAGCCAGTCTGGGTTAAGAAAGAAGCCCCTGGAGAAAAGCCCTGTATGGTTCCATGATATATAATTAAGAAGACTCTGCAAAACCAAGATTTTAGTGTTTGCACAAAATTATATTTCAACAGCATTATTTTCCTTATAGATTGTTCTCTCACTCTACCTATATACTGGTGAATGTTTGCATCTACTGACTCCCAGCTTAAATTTGATCATCACTGTTTTAGCCAAAAAGCTCTAAGGTTATGTCTTAGCTGGCATTCTTGTCAGGTTTACTTCATTATTTAATCAACAAATGCCATATGGGCATTTTTTATAATATAGGATCATCATTCTTCAGATTTTCAACCATTACCATCTTTTGCTTTTTAAAGGTGAGAAGATTGATATGAGTAACATGGAAACTTTTCTGGGAAATATGGGGATGACGCTCACAGAAGATAAAGGCATGGAACTACAAAACAGGCTTCCAGTCGATGGTAAGCATTAAAAATATCACAGTGGGGGGAAAAAATCACAGTGGCCTTTAAGGAAAGTTAAGTATGTGGACTTTTGTAACTAATACTCCCTATTTAAGGACTGTTTCATCCCCCCCACCCTGGCCCCCATCACCAAAATGATTTCACCAAATTGAGAGTTGTTTCCACTCTTAAGTTTTATTCTTTGAAGTGAAATAATATACATTTTTAGAATAAAACATTTAAAAGTCTATGTTTCTGAACTTATGCATGTTTCATTTAAATATCAATACTACTGCCTGAAACTTGCATTTTTCCCTTTCTTACAGACAAAGGAAGGATGTATGTGAACAGATTGATGAAAGAGTTAAGGTCTCTTGAAGGTGAGTAAGAAGCATGATGAAAAGGCAGGTAAAACAGGTCATCAAGCTTTGCTTTTATTTTAAAAAACTCATCCTATTTTACAATTTTCAGGTTATTAATCCAACTGTCCCAACTATCTGTTAAGTCAGTGTTTATTCTTTATATGTTATATATGTATTCTTATATATTCTTTATATCTATAGATATTCTATAGATAGGCATACTGCAGTCACTAAAATGGTTTAAATACAGTAACCCAAAAGCAGTGGTTCCCAAATAAAGCTGTATACCAGAATCACAAGGGGGAAAAATAAAGCATTCAAATCACTAGGCCCCTTCCCAGTCATATCGATCTTGAATTTCCAGAGATAGTATCTAGAAACATATGTTCTTAAATGTTTCCCAGAGGATTATGATAAAGTAAATTCCATGGATTGGTTGTCTGTCTGGCTCAACGGATGGCTGGCTGAATGGATTGGTGGTTGGTTGGATGGATGGATGGATTTATAATTCTCCATTAATTAGCAAGTTTTGAATTCTTCTGTGCAAACACATGTATAAAGGCTGATTTTACTCTTTGCCATGACTTAATACCCTTAACTACTCACTTTCTTCTCTTAAATGTTTTCCTAAAAGTCCTAACAGAATCCCACAAATCAGGGTTTGGGAATTCCTGACTTAGATACCAAAACCACATTTGCTTGAATGGTTTAATTGTTCTTTGCTCTTCATTGTCTATGTAGTACTGATGCCTAGGCATGATCTATAATGACCCACTCTTACAAATATTTTTCATATCCTATCCCTTTCTTTCCTAAGGGGTGAAGGTGTCTCCAAATAAGGTGGACACTTTCTTGAAAAACATGGGAATTGATCTCAAGGAGAAAGAAATCCAGGAACTGAAGGACTGCCTACCAGTTGATGGTGAGAGTTTTGAGTGTCAATAGATCCTTTAGCCAAACTTTGGACTTGAGGCTAGTCTCAGACCTAGAATGACTGAAGATAGGATGTATATGAAAAAAAGAAAAAGAAAGAGTGAGGCCTTTAGCATAGCTATCAAACTGGGCCCAGTGGCTATCACTGGGGAAGGATCACCAAGTATGCTGCCCCATAGAGATGGCAAGAGTCCCTCTTCACAGGAAATGCCAGGGTCTAACAGAGAATATTCAGATTTTAATCTTTGAGTCCCTACTGCTAACCCAGTATTAAATAGCAATGACCAGCACTACATGGTCCTGACACGTGCAAGGCGCTGTTTTAAGCACTTTACATATATTGTCTTATTTAATCTTGCAAACAACTCTACAAGGCAGGTTCTATTTTTACTCCCATTTTACATATAAGGAAACTAAGGCACAGAGAAGTCAAGTAGTGTGCCTAGTCAGAGAGCTAGTAAGTGGTGGGCAGGCAATCAGGCTCCAGAAACTCTTAGCCACTCTGCTATACTGCCATCAACTACCAGAACTAATAAATTTAAGAAGATAAATAGCGGTACTTAATGTAATTAATTAAACTTGGCATATATTAGACTCATGCTAGTAGAACTGAGGAAAATTCATGAGGAAATTTTAAGAGACACCTGTCCCCTTGAGGAAGTAGGAAAGATACAAGATTGATCCAAGTCAATGAATATGGGCTTTTCTAAATCAATAGTACCTTCCATTCTTTTATACCATAAACTTTAACTGAATGCTTATGATGTGTCAGGCACTGTTCTAGACCCTCGGATCCTTTGCATTAAAAAGAAGTAAATGGATTTTCCAGAAATGACTTTTTCTTTGTTTTTTTTTAATCCCTTTCATAGCTCTTTTAATCTACCAGCCAGTTCAATAAATGCAGATATTTGTCATTGCCTTGTTTTTCTAAGTATTCTGAAACATGAGAAAAGATACCAGCACAATGATTTAAAGTGTGAGACTAATTCTAATATAATTCTTGTGGACTGCCTTGTATATGTGTGGAATCATTTGAAATAGAATGCAAAACTGTTTCAGGGGCCCAGTGGGCCTCAGTGGAGCTGATTAGAGACATACAAAGTAAATGACATGAGGGGATTTGTCCTTTACAGGCACAGAATATTCTCCACCAATGGTTCTTCCTTACCCTGTTTAAAATTCATAATATAATGGTATTCATATTAATAACAATAATAATAATAATAAATGCTATAAAATTATAATAGGATACCAATAAAAGATTATCATAATTGAAAAGACATAAAAAAGAACAAGCAAGGAAAAATTCCATATCTGGGAACCTGGAATATGTGTACTGGTTTTAAAGCCAATTCATTCTTTATAATATATTTGCATTTTACTGGAACTTAATTATTAAGTAAACATTTATGGATCATCAATTTTGTGCAGACCCTTAAACCAATGCTGAGGTAATAGCAGGAGTACAAAGTGATTCTTGATTTCTCACCCTTTGGGGGAATTTATAATCTTAGGATTATTATTACACATAAAATAAGAGTGTGAACATATTTGAGTAGTGATGGACTGGCACCCTTGACCAAGTTATAAGTGGAGAATGAGTATGTCCGTAGGCAGCTTAAGGTTCCAAACAGAATCTTGCCTATTAGAGCAATAGCATCTTTTAACTACTATCTTAACATTGCAATCCAGTGTTTCTCAAACTTGCAATTTTACAAACTACTAAAAATGTATCCATTGACTTCTAATAACTTCAGACTTTGAGAAATAGACTAAAGAAATTAAGTGCCTCATCTATGAAAAAAGTCTCTCAATTGAGAATAGGTACTGCAAAACAAAAGTTTTGTCATAATACCTGGGAATTTAACTGAATATATCAACATGATGATTATCATGTTGGCAACCTAAGAGCAGCCAGGCATGCATACCAGCACTCTGTCCTTTAAAAGAATCACTTGATGCTAAGGTGATCATAAGCCCAAAGGTAAAGTCAGCACTGGCAAAATGGAAACATCATTTTTAAACAAAATTTTTAAACTCTCAAAACATTTCAGACCCATGCCTGAAAAGAGTAGCCTAATAAATAGTAGATTGTCTTGAAGGAAAGGAGAATGTTTTAAACCTTATTCATGTATTATGCTGTATGGATTTTGATAGCATAAAATGCAGGAGCTATATTAACTTAAACTTCAAGAAAAATGTTTTTAAATGGTTGAATTTTGGGTTGCTATTTCACAATTTTTCTAAAAACCTTTTTGGCGCTTTTTTATCTTAAAGCCAATGGGAAGATTGACTTAAATGTGTTGGTGGATGAAGTTAAAAATATCACAGGTGAGTAAGGTGTTGAAATGAGTATTATATTATGTGGTCTTAAAGTTTTATATGGAACTATATTTTTAACAAATAGTGTTTACTCCCTCCTTTATTCATTTAACAACTGTTTCCTCAGCACTTACTACATGCCAGGCATTGTTCTAGACAGGATACATCAGCAAACAGAGTAAAGATCATTGCTCCCCTGGAGCTTATATGCTAGCAAGGGAAATAAGCAATAAACATAATAAATAAGTCAATTTAAAGTATGTTAGAAAGTGATAGATGCTATAGAAAACAATGAAAAGTAGACTAAAGGAGATTGGGAGGGGAAAGAGGCACTTGAGGCTTTAAACAGATAATCAGGCCTCCTTGAGAAGGTGACACATGAGCAAATACTTGAAGGAGGTGAGGGTTTTGTCCATATGGAGACTTCTAGAAAAAGAGTTGTAGGCAGAGGGGACACGGACTAAGACCCAAAGGCAGGAGCATGTCTGGACTACTCAAGGAACAGCAAGAAGGCTAATGTAGCTGAGGTTGAATAAGGAAGGAAAAACGTAACAGGAGATCAGGAGAGAGAAGTGATGGATGTAAGATTAGTCAGGACTGTGAAAGCTCTGCCAGGACTTGGGCTTTTTTCTGACAGAAATGGAAAGCCATTGCAGGTTTTAGACCAGAGGCATGATATGATCTGACCTGTTTTCATTAGATTTTCTTGGATTCTGTGTGGAGAACAGACTCAGGGAGGGGGAGGAGTAGGGAGTAGAGCCCTAAACGGGTTTTTAAAGTAATCCATGTGAGAAATGATGGTGATTCATACCAGGGCAAAGCAGTGAAGATGATAAAAAGTAGCTGGACTCTGGGTATATTTTTAAAAGAGTTATTGTGGTGATGGATTTCACTAGACTTATTGTGGTGATCATTTCATAATTTAAACCAATATCAAACCATTATGTTGTACACCTGAAACTAAAATAATGTTACATGTCAATTATATCTCAATTTAAAAAAATAATAAAAAGAGTCAACAGGGTTTCCTCATGGAAACTAGATAAAGGGAGAAGTCAGGAATGACCCTTGAGATTTTTGTCTTGAACAACTGAAAGGATGGACTTGCCATTGGAGTCTGGAGAAAGTTGCTAGAAATACAAGTTTAGATGGAAGAAAATTGGGAGTTCAGTTTGAGATATTTTAAGATATCAATAGAAATAGAGATATCAGCTAAAAAGTTACCAGATAGTCACAACTTCAAGAAAGATATCTTAGCTAAAAATATAAAATTGAAAGCCATAGGTATATAGATGGTATTTAAAGCCGTGAGATTGAATGAATTCACCCAAGGGGTGAATATATATGGAGAAGGAAAGAGAACTAAGAAGTAATACTGGAGGACTTCAACATTAAATGTTAAAGCAAAAGAGACCAAGAAGAAGTGACCAGTAAAGTAGGTAGAAAACCAAGAGAATATGGTGTCCTGAAAGCCAAATAAGTATATTAGGTTGGTTTCCCCCAGACACAAACCCTGAGACAAGGAGCATGTATACATGGGAGGTGAGCCCAGGAAACACAGATAGGGGAGTAGAGAAGTGAGACATGAATGAAGGCAGCAAATAAAGTATGTGTTTATCAGGCAAGTTACAAAGAAGGTAACTGAAACTTAATCCCATTGGAGAATATCTGGGAAATGATAGAGAACACAACCTCAGGGGAGTGGGAGAGCTAGGTTATTTTTACACCAACCCCTATCAGTCATTGGTTGAGAAGTGCTCAAGGGGAGGGAGGCAATATTACTCCACTGGCATTTCCAGCCATTGAGCATTAGCAGAGTGAACTCTGGCAACCAAAGAAATCCCTCAGACAAAGAGATGCCAGCAATTAAAACTTGGGCTAGCATGCATTGAACTGGTAAGGGTTGAAGAGATATGATCAGGGCATCTATAGTATCTGCTACAAGTATCAGCCAGGAGGGCAAATCAACAGTCAAACAGATCAATAGGTCAACTAAGATAAGACCTGAGAAGTGACTATTGCATATAGACACATTAGTGATCTCAAATCACAAAATACCATTAGTGATATCAAAAAGAGAAGTTTCAGGTGATGAAGGTAGAAAGAAGCCTGACTGTAGTGAGTTTAAGAGAAAATGGGAAGAGAAATACAAACCAAAACCACAATGAGATACCACCTCACACCAGTCAGAATGGCTAAACTGAACAACTAAGGAAACAACAGATGTTGGCAAGGATGTGGAGGAAGGGGAATCCTCTTATACTCTTGGTGGGAATGTAAACTGGTGCAGCCACCCTGGAAAACAGTATTCAGGTTCCTCAAAAAGTTAAAAATAGAGCTACCCTACAACCCAGCAACTGCATTACTAGGTATTTATCCAAAGGATACAAACAGTGATTCAGAGGGGCACCTGCACTCCAATGTTTATAGCAGCAATGTCCACAATAGCCAAAATATGGAAAATATGAAAAGAGCCCAGATGTCCATTGTATGGATAAAGAAGATCTGATGTGTACACACACACACACACACACACACACAATGGAATATTACTCAGCCATCAAAAAGAATGAAATCTTGCCATTTGCAACAATGTGGATGGAACCAGAGGGTATTATGCTAAGCGAAATAAGTCAGTCAGAGAAAGATAAATACCATATTATTTCACTCATATGTGGAATTTAAGAAACAAAACAGATGAACATAGGGGAAAGAAAGGAAAAATCAAATAGGATAAAAACAGAGAGGGAGGCAAACCATAAAAGACTTTTAACTCTAGGGAACAAACAGGGTTGCTGGAGGGGAGGTGGGGGATGGGGTAACTGGTTGATGGGCATTGGGAGGGAACTTGGTGTAATGAGCACTGGGTGTTACATGCAACTGATGAATCACTAAATTCTACCCCTAAAACTAATAATACAGTATATGTTAACTAAATGGAATTTAAATGAAATTTTTTTTAAAAAAAGAGAAAATGGGAAGACAGGATTTAGAAACAGTGAATATCTGAGAAATTTTGCTGCAAAGGGGATCAAAGAAGTGGAACAAAGAGGCAAGTAAACTGGTGAAAGTTGTCAAGAGAAGGCTTTGTTTTTTTTTAATTAAAGAGATAAAGGAATTTTTGATCAAATGGAAGAGGAGGAAGTGGTGGTTTGAAAAAAAAAAAAGAAGAAGTAAAGTAGTCAGCAAGAAGAGCAGGAAAGTTAATACATCAGCAAAATGTAGTGTGGTTGCCCAGCAGAATCAAGGACTCACCTGAGGTTCACGATCATCCATTTAAAATGAGAACAGTCAGCACAAAACACTTCAGCTCTAGTTCAGCTGCCTGGCTGCAGGCACAGAGTAAGCACGAACTTGTATTTAAACAGGAATGAGTTTTGCCAAGTGAGTATATTGAAAGCAAGGGCAGAGCAATTTCAATCCAATCTTTCGCAAAACTTAAATACACTTACCACTCTCTTTGTTCACCATTGCTTTTTACTTTTACTCTTTTTGGGGTTCAGTTTCATTCTTCTTGAAGTACATCCTTCTTGGTCATTTCAACAAGGATTAGTCTTTGAAAATATCTTTATTTTACACTCAGCCTTGAGTCATTCTTTGACTATGTCTGCACTTGTAGATCATCATTCTACCTTAGAACTCTGAAGGGTGCTGCTATCTCTGAAGAGTGTAATGACACTGGTTCCACAAGGTTGAAAAACTGAAACTGGATTCATCTATTGCTATGGGAAGGAACTTCATCTGACAACATTTCAGTCTCTCTCTCTCCCCCCTCCCACTACCCACCCACTGGCAGAGTTTAATATGGAACCAGCTATCCAAAGAGAAATGTGGTCTAGAGTCCTGGCCTCAGCATCACAAAGCAGAGTTTACAATGGTGGAATTGGAGCTGAGAGGAAATCATTAAATCACTGAAATAGTTTACCTTCTTGGCTACTCCGCTGTGGACCCTTCTGCACATATTTGAACTTAACTTCCATATAACAACAAAACAACTCCATGTTCCCTTCATACAAATGAAGATGTCCTCTTTCTCTCCCCAGAATGAGGAGAAGCAAAGTTCCAACAGTCTATCTGGGGGAGACAGTCATACTATCTCTGGGCTATGTTAGTTCTCAAATTTAGTTACAGTCCCATCTGGATATTCTGTAACCTGAAGACCAACTTGTAAGGTTAACCTATAATAAACTTGTAATTAAATTTAAAAGGGGCAAAAAGGAGAAAGAAGAAAATACACACGAATATAGATAGACAAAGATGATAGATTCATATACGCACTGTTTTCTGGCCTCTCTTTTTGCTGTTAAAAGTCAGCTGTAAGTCTTCATTGTTTATTTAGAGTTACTCTCTTTTTCTCTTGTTACTCTTAAGATTATCTCTATCTTTGAAATTCTCATTCTCATGTGGCAAAGTGTAGATTGTTTCCATTTTTCCTGCTTGGAACTTGTGATTGCTGAAACTAAACATTTATGCCTCTCACCAAGTTTTGGAAACTCTCAGACCTCATGTTTCAACTATTGCCTTTTCTCTTTTTTTCTCTTTTCTCACTTTTGGAGACTCCTAGTTCATGTATGTTGCACCTTCTCATTCTGCTCTTCATATCTTTCTTTTCATATTTTCCCTATTTTTATGTTTTTGTCTTTTCTTAAACCTCTCTTCCAGTTCACTGTCTCTACAACTGTATCTTGTATATTTGTCCATTGGGATTTTAATTTCAATAACTATATTTTTATTTCTAGATATTGTTTTTAATTCTTTTCTAGATTAGCCCATTCTTTTCCCTGATTTCTTGTTCTTATGGTTTCTATGCTTTCTTTTCAGCAGATTTTTAAAAATGTGATTTCAAATCTATCCCCTATCTGATATGCCCAGCTTACAGTGTAAATCATGTAAATACTAATTTACTCAAGGTGAAAATTTTTACAGAGAGCCAGCTTTTATTATCATTTTTAAAACTAGTCCCATAATTCAGGTAAAAGAAGAAAAGGAAGGGGAAGGGGGCAGGGAGGCCCAGAGGAAGGGAATGAGAAGAGGGAAGAAGAAGAAGAGGAAAAAAAGAAAGAAAAGAATACAGATGTTATATTTGTGGTTGAATTGTTATCCATCAAACACAGCTAAACTACTAAGAAATTATATAATCCCTGCTTTACTTATTATATATGGTATCATCTTATCATTAAAGATATCTTCTTAGGTTAAAAGAAGAATTTCTGACTCCCCCCCCACCTTGACTCTGAATAGCTAAACAAGGCTTCATTATGCCTAGTTCATCCTCACAACCCTACCTGGGAAGGATGTTTCCTTATGTATATGTATTTCTTTCTAAAGGAGAGAAGATTCCTACTGAGGACCTGAAAAATGTTCTGAAAGACATGGGAATAAAGATCACAGACAAGGAACATAAAAAGCTTCTGAAAACTTTGCCAGTTTCTGGTAAGCATTGAAGTTCTACTTCACCGATATCTAAAAGCTTACTCATTTGACATTTATTAAAGATCTGTTGTGTGCATGGCACTATCCTAAACTCTGGGAGAACAGGGACCATTGTCTGCAGTGACCATGTCTCCTCAAGTCCTCAAAACTACACAGAAGGTTTGTTTTCAGGTTTTGTATTAGAAATTCTAGGGGTCCCTGTGTGGCTCAGTCGTTAAGCGTCTGCCTTCAGCTCAGGTCATGATCCCAGGGTCCTGGGATCGAGCCCCACATCGGGCTCCCTGCTCTGTGGGAAGCCTGCTTCTCCCTCTCCCACTCCCCCTGCTTGTGTTCCCTCTCTCGCCGTGTCTCTCTCTGTCAAATAAATAAATAAAATCTTTATTAAAAAAAAGAAAGAAAAAAAAAAAGAAATTCTACTGTTTAGGGCATCTGAGTGGCTCAGTCAGTTAAGCAGCCGACTCTTGGCTTCAGCCCAGGTCATGATCTTGGGGTCCTGCAATCAAGCCCCAAGTCAGGCTCCACACTCAGAGGGGAATCTGCTTGAGGATTCTCTTTCTCCCTCTCCCTCTGCCCCTCCCCCTACTCATGTGCGCTCTCTCTCTAAAATAAATAAATCTTACTTTAAAAAAAAAAGAAATTCTAGTGTTTGAAACATTTTATGTCAATTTAAAATATTTTTTTAAAAGACTCAATCCTAGCATTTTTTTAAATGTTTTATTTATTTATTCATGAGAGTCAGAGAGAGAGAGAGAGAGGCAGAGGCAGAGGGAGAAGCAGGCTCCCCACCTAGCAGGGAGCCCGATGCGGGACTCGATCCCAGAACCCTGGGATCATGACCTGAGCTGAAGGCAGACGCTTAACCATCTGAGCCACCCAGGCGCCCCCAATCCTAGCATTTAAAAAAATCCTGTTCTTATCGTTTAAATTTTGGTCTAGGGAGCTGGGACCTCTTCAGTCAGAGGTCACATCATAGGACAATGTCTTTTGTCCCTTTCAGGGAAATCTAAGGTCTAAGCTAGAAGAAGATGAAAGGGCAGAAGGGCAGGAAAGCTGAAAAAAGAAAAGATGAAGTAAAACTGGGAAGGAGAAAATGAGAAAAAAAAAAAGAAGATAGCAGGAGGGGAAGAATGAAGGGGGGAATCGGAGGGGGAGACGAAACATGAGAGACGATGGACTCTGAAAAACAAACTGAGGGTTCTAGAGGGGAGGGGGATGGGAGGATGGGTTAGCTTGGTGATGGGTATTAAAGAGGGCACGTTCTGCATGGAGCACTGGGTGTTATATGCAAACAATGAATCATGGAACACTGCATCAAAAACTAATGATGTGATGTATGGTGATTAACATAACATAATAATAAAAAAAAAGAAAAAGAAAAAGCTGTGTGTATTTCAGCAAACCAGCCACTAACAATAGCCTTTTATTCTGTCCAGGGATAGTCACTACACTGAGTTTTCTAAATACTTCGCATTTCATTGAGAATGAATTGTGATAAATTTCTAAATTTCCCCTTTCTGAAAGTAAACCCTTTAATTTCTATGAATTGTCAAAAACTCAATAATGTTTTATCTTACAGCTGATAAAAAGGTGTTTGAGAAAGCATTACTGGAGGGTGTGAAATCTTTCAAAGGTGAGTGAGAAAAAGAATAAGGACAATAAAATCTGAGATTGCTGTAACTTTTTTCTGATTATATAATCAGGAAATTACGTATGCATTTATTCAACAAATATCCAAGTCTCTACTGTGTGTCGGGTATTTGAGAAAAATCTGGAATATATAAAGTAGCATACAGAAAAAAATGCAATTACCCATAATCCCAGTAATATTACCTTTTTTTATTACAGTTCTCTGTGTTCTTTTTTTCTGTGTATATGTGTATATAGATAAACTCTTACTGTATATTTTATGTATCCTATACTTAATCCTAAAATTTTAGTGTAAGAATTCCACCATGTCATTCTTTGTAAACACCATTTTTAATGACTTATCAGGTTGTATTTATAGTTTATTTAGTCATTCCTTTCTTATTGAACACTTAGCTAGTCTCCAATGTTTTGCTCTTGTGTATCTGTGATCTTTGTCCGACTTTAAGCCATTTTCTTTGGATAGATTCTTCTGGTAAATCCAGTAAATCTTAACATGTTTAAGGCTGTGATATATGTATATAAGTGGATAAAAGTACTGGTTCCCATTATGCCCTGGCCACAATAAATTATTTTCAGATTTTTTGATCCTTGCCAATTTGATAAATGAAAAATGGAATCTAATTAATGTTGAACTTTTTGTTATCAATGAAGTTAAAACTATTTTTATATCATTGTCTTTCAGTCTTTTAATTATTTGTTCCTGCCTTTTGCCTATTATCCTATCGGAATCCAAGCTTTTTCCTATTAATCTGAATGACCTCTTTATAAATTAAAGATATTAACACAATTGTCATAGCTACAGAAAATATTTTCCCAGTTGGTTATTTGCATTTTTACTTTATTATGTTGTATTTTTTACAATAGTTTATTGAAATATAATTTACATACCATGCAATTGACCCATTTAAAGCGTACTGGTTTTAGTATATTAACAGAGTTGCATAACCATCATCACAATCAATTTAGAACATTTTCATCACCCCAAAAAGATACTGTACCCATTAGCCATCACTCCCCATTCCCATACAACTTGCTGTAAAGAACTTCTTTGTACTTTCATTTCTAGTTAGGGTTGATGGCCTGCATTTTTCATCTGTGACATCCTTATTTACTTTTTCTTGTTTTTATTAAGGAGGAAGGGTTAGTGTCAGGGACCTAAAAAATGTTCTACGGAATACTGGGTTCAGACTTGAAGAAAAGGAAATCCAGGACCTGCAGAGCCACCTACCAGTTATTGGTGAGCATTTTGAGATTCCTTTATCCTGGGACACCTGGGTGCCTTAGTCAATAGAACATGCAACTCTTGATCTCAGGGTCACGAGTTCAAGCCCCATGTTGGGTGTGGAGCCTAATAGAGATAGATAGATAGATAGATAGATGATAGATAGATAGATAGATAGGGATAGGTACCTTTATCCTATAGACAATGACTAGTCTGCTCTGAAAGCACTGAGGAAACACATGCTGGGGAGAGAAAAACCAGGGGGCAGAGATACAATTTAGAGGCTGCTGCTAAGGTCCAGATGATAAGGGTCTTTATTAAGGAACTGCACTGGTGATAAAGGGGGAGGGCTGATGGGATGTGGTTGGTGAAAGGGAGAGAGATGCTAGAAGTATGAAGCAGAGGTTCATAGTTTGTATGATTGACACACACACACACAGGTGAGGGTGGGGGAGAAACAAAAAGGAGCAGAATGAAAACAAAAATGTTTAGAACAGGGGCGCCTGGGTGGCTCAGTCAGTTAAGCGTCTGATTCTTGGTTTCAGCTCAGGTCATGATCTCAGGGTCCTGGGATCAAGCCCCACAGCAGGCTCCCTGCTCGGCAGGAAGTCTGCTTCTCCCTCTCCCTCTGACCCTCCCACCTCTTGCTCTCTCTCTCCCTCTCTCTCAAATGAATAACTTTTATTTTTTAATTTTTTCCTTTTTTTTTTTTTAAAGATTTTATTTATTTATTTGACAGAGAGAGACAAAGCGAGAGAGGGAACACAAGCAGGGGGAGTCGGAGAGGGAGAAGCAGGCTTCCTGCCGAGCAGGGAGCCCGATGCAGGGCTCGATCCCAGGACCCCGGGATCATGACCTGAGCCAAAGGCAGACGCTTAATGACTGAGCCACCCAGGCGCCCCAATTTTTTTCCTTTTTTTAACTTACTTTTTTTAATATTTTTTATTTAAACTCAAATAATTAACATATAATATATTATTGGTTTCAGAGGTAGAGGTCAGTGATTCATCAGTCTTATATAATACCCAACGCTCATTATATCATGTGCTCGCCTTAATGTCTATCACCTAATTACCCTATCCCCCCATATCCCTGCACTCCAGCAAACCTCAGTATGTTTTCTGTGATTAAGAGTCTCTTATGGGGGGGCAGAGCAAGATGGCGAAGGAATAGGAGACCTGGATTTCGTCTTGTCCCAGGAATTCAGCTGGATAGGGATCAAACCATTCTGAACACCTACAAACTCAACAGGAGATGGAAGAAAAGAATAGCAACAACTCTCTGAACAGAAAAGTGACCACTTTCTAGAAGGTAGGACATGCAGAGAAGTGAATCCGAGGTGATATTCAGGAGGACAGACGGCGGGGGAGGGGGCCTCCATCCGCTGCTTCTGGCAAGTGATAGAGCAGCAGAGCACAAAATTGGAACTTTTACAAGTCTGCTAGCTGAGGGACATTGCTCCAGTGGCTAAGCGGGGTTGGAACCCTCACTGGCACAGTGTGGTCTCAGGGCCCTCGGGGTCACAGAAAGACCGGGGGTGCCTGAGTGTGGCAGAGCTCCCAGGTATCGGAGCAGGGAAGCTGGCTGCAGAGACGGAGCCAAGGCGCGGGCTCTCAGCTTGGGGTTGCCTTAAACCATGATCCGCGGCACAGTCAGGCCACTGCTCCTCCAGCAGGGACCCAACAAGTGGCAGATCCGGGGAGACTCACCTTCCTCCCCCTGGGAGGAGCGGCACGGGAGCACACCACAGGGATCTGCTGGGTTTGGAGACTCCACACGGGGTCAGGTGCCAGAGATAGAAACGCTCAGTCACAGGCTGGGTGAGCACGGAGTGTGGCCGGACACCGGGGAGATGGGAGTGACTGACTGCTTTTCTCTGGGGGCACACTGAGGAACAGGGCCCCGAGTTCACAGCTCCTCCGGGGCGGAGATTGGGAGGCCGCCATTTTCACTCTCGTCCTCCAAAGCTGTATGGAAAGCTTGCAGGGAACAAGGGCTACAGAGAGCAAACCCGAGTAGATTACTTAGCCCTGACTGGCAAGGGTGGGGCAATTCTGCCTCTGGCAAAGACATTTGGGAACCATGACAACAGGCCCCTCCCTCAGAATATCAGCAAGAACCGCTAGCCAAGACAAAGTTTACCGATCAATGAGAACGGCAGAACTCCAGCACTAGGGGAATACTGCACATAGAATTCATGCCTTTTAACCATGATTCTTTAGTCTTTCAAAGTTAATTTTTTTTAAATGTCTTTTCCTTTTTTTTTTTTTTTTGAATTTTTCTTTTTCCATTTTTCAACCAACATCTTATCAGTCCCTTTTTTAAAAAATATTTTTTATTTTTATTTTTAGTGTCATATTCTGTCCCTTCATAGTAGTTACCCTTATTTTTGGTATATATATATAAATTGTTCTCACTTTAAAATTTTGAGATAGTTTCTTCTAACATCAAAATATACCCTAAATCTCCAGTGTATGGCTTTGTTCTAGTCTCCTGCCTGATTACCTTCTCTCCCCCCCCTTTTTTTTAATCCTCTTCTTTCTTTTTTCAACCACCTTCTTATCTTATCAATTCCCTTTTATAAAATCTTTTATAATTTTCATCTCAAATCTCATATCTGTACCTCTGAAACAAATAATGCAATATAGGTTGAGAAAAAAAAAAGAAGAAGAAGGTAGCAGGAGGGGAAGAATGAAGGGGGGGAAATCGGAGAGGTAGACAAACCATGAGAGACAATGGACTCTGAAAAACAAACTGAGGGTTCTAGAGGGGAGGGGGGTGGGAGGATGGGTTAGCCTGGTGATGGGTATTGAGGAGGGCACATTCTGCATGGAGCACTGGGTGTTAGGCACAATCAATGAATCATGGAACACTACATCTAAAACTAATGATGTAATGTATGGGGATTAACATAAGAATAAAAATAATCTTTCATAATTTTCATCTTTACAGTCATATTCCATCCATTCATCGTATTAACCCTTATTTTTGTACATATATAAGTTTTTCTTTCTTTAAAATTTAGGGAGGCACTTTCTTTCTTTCCCTTTCTTTTCCCCTGGTTTCAAGTCTTTTCTGGTTTGTTTAGTGTATATTTTCTGGGGACGTTGTTACCCTGTTAGTATTTTGTTCTCTCATTCATCTATTCTCCTCTGAACAAAATGACAAGACAGAAAAAATCAACTCAACAAAAAGAACAAGAGGCAGTACCAACTGCCAGGGACCTAATCAATACAGAAATTAGTACGATGTTGGAACTAGAATTCAGAATGATGATTTTAAAGATACTAGCTGGACTTGAAAAAAGCATGGAATTTATTAGAGAAACCCTTTCTGGAGAAATAAAAGAACTAAAATCTAACCAAGTCGAAATCAAAAAGGCTATTAATGAGGTGCAATCAAAAATGGAGGCTCTAACTACTAGGATAAATGAGGCAGAAGAGAGAATTAGTGATATAGAAGACCAAATGATGGAAAATAAAGAAGCTGAGAAAAAGATAAACAACTACTGGATCACAAGGGCAGAATTCGAGAGATAAGCGATACCATAAGACGAAACAACATTAGAATAATTGGGATCTCAGAAGAAGAAGAAAGAGAGAGAGGAGCAGAAGGTATATTGGAGCACATTATAGCAGAGAACTTCCCTAATTTGGGGAAGGAAACAGGCATCAAAATCCAGGAGGCACAGAGAACCCCTCTCAAAATCAATAAAAATAGGTCAACACCCCGACATCTAATAGTAAAACTTAAAAGTCTCAGAGACAAAGAGAAAATCCTGAAAGCAGCTTGAGAAAAGAGATCTGTAACCTACAATGGTAGAAACATTAGATTGGTACAGACCTATCCACAGAGACCAGCAGGCCAGAAAGGACTGGCATGATATATTCAGAGCACTAAATGAGACAATATGCAGCCAAGAATACTATATCCAGCTAGCCTGTAATTGAAAATAGAAGGAGAGATAAAAAGCTTCCAGGACAAACAAAAACTAAAGGAATTTGCAAGCACGAAACCAGCCCTACAGGAAATATTGAAAGGGGTCCTCTAAGCAAAGAGAGAGCCTAAAAGCAATATAGACCAGAAAGGAACACAGACAATATACAGTAACAGTCACCTTACAGGAAATACAATGGCACTAAATTCATCTCTTTCAATAGTTACCCTGAATGTAAATGGGCTAAATGCCCCAATCAAAAGACACAGGCTATCAGATTGGATTAAAAAACAAGACCCATCAATATGCTGTCTGCAAGAGACTCATTTTAGACCCAAAGACACCTCCAGATTGAAAGTGAAGGGGTGGAAAACCATTTACCATGCTAATGGACACCAAAAGAAAGCTGGGGTGGCAATCCTTATATCAGACAAATTAGATTTTAAACCAAAGACTGTAATAAGAAATGAGGAAGGACACTATATCCTGCTTAAAGGGTCTATCCAACAAGAAGATCTAACAATTGTAAATATCTATGCCCCTAACATGGGAGCAGCCAATTATATAAGACAATTAATAACAAAAGCAAAGAAACACATTGACAACAATACAATAATAGTGGAGGATTTTAACACCCCCCTCACTGAAATGGACAGATCATCTAAGCAAAAGATCAACAAGGAAATAAAGACTTTAAATGACACACTGAACCAAATGGACTTCACAGATATATTCAGAACATCCCATCCCAAAGCAACAGAATACACATTCTTCTCTAGAATGCCCATGGAACATTCTCCAGAATAGATCACATCCTAGGTCACAAATCAGGTCTCAACCGGTACCAAAAGATTGGGATCATTCCCTGCGTTTTTTCAGACTATAATGCTTTGAAACTAGAACTCCATCACAAGAGGAAAGTCAGAAAGAACTCAAATACATGGAGGCTAAAAAGCATCCTACTAAAGAATGAATGGGTCAACCAGGTAATTAAAGAAGAATTAAAAAAATTCATGGAAACCAATGAAAATGAAAACACAACTGTTCAGAATCTTTGGGATGCAGCAAAGGCAGTCCT